GTTTTTATATTTGACACAATAAGTGCTGGTTGGTAGTTTGTATTCACACGTTTCGACTTCTAAAATGTTTCTTGCTCGTTTTTCTTCTGATGAGACAGCTTTCCAAATGAGCGGTAAATTAAAAAAATATTTTGTTAATACTATTCTAGTGCTTAAATTAAGTTTATTTGAATAAATGATTTTCTATTCTATTCTATACTAAACTAGTGTAATTTGTGGAGAACTGGTACCTGTACTAGGTATCCGAAGAACCTTTCACAGGTCACCAGGTTCCCCCACTAGATCTTACGTGCATGCATATGAATATAAATACGGTACATAAACCAAAATAACATTTTTTACAATTTTTGCCTGTCTGTCTGTTTGTTCCGGCTAATCTCTGAAATAGATGGACCGATTTTGACGGGGCTTTTTTGGCAGGTAGCTGATGTAATAAGGAGTAACTTAGACTACTTTTATTTTAGAAAAATAAAGTTAAATTTCACGCGGACGAAGTCGCGTGAACAGCTAGTCATTAATAAAATTCTTAAATAGTGCAAATAGTAATAATTAACTGAGAAGTTAGTATAGTAGTCGAAATAATAATATATAGAACCTGTAACATTGTAATCTAGTTCACGCTTAAGTAGATTTTTTTACAAAAAGAAAATACGGAAATATACATATAAATATATTTTTTACTTTACACTGAAGAGGGTGTATTGACCACGAGCGACCGGTTGAATCTCCAAACATGGTAAATATTTTTAGGTACTAAATTCCATTCTCGGTTGCCCACATTTCAGCGATTACGATACGTGCCAACAAGGAAGGCAATGTCTTTAACTTGATTATAAATTGAATTTACACTAAAAAATGTGTATTTTATTAAAACATAAAACAAATTTTCTTTTTACGAACAGAATTAAATAAATGACTTCCCGGACAATTCACACAACGCCATCTAGTCCCAAGGTAAGCAAAGCTTGTTATGGTTACTGTACAACAGATATAAATACTTAGATATATATATATATATTTATAAATATATACATAATATACACAGAAAACACCCAAATGCTTGCAATGTGCGAAGAACCGTTCCGTAATATCCATAACACAAGCTCTGCTTACTCTGAGACTAAATGTCGTTATGTGATTTGTCTAGGGGTTATTTGTTTATTCATTATTATTATTATTATTTTATAGATTGCTATCAAATACGGAAAATATCAACCCTGAACTTATAAAATTATTTTCGTTATTAAACTTCCATTAAAAACGGTTTGGGCGTATAATGACAACAAATGCTTAATTCAAAAAATGTACCATTACATCATGAACATTCATTTCATAATCTCGTCTTCGTAATAAAATAATTCACAGACTGCATTACGTAATAAATAAGGGTCTTTGCCAAGTGCAAGTTGAATATAAAAAAGGCGCGAACTTTTGCGCGCGTTTTTTGCCATGTCAGGCTCGCTTCACTCAGACCACAGATAAGATAATTTGATCGGACCAAAATAACTTCTGTGTGAAAATGTTCGTTTTAATAATGCATAATTAAAATATATTTGGTTGCACAGATTAATTTCGAAAAGTTATTTTAATCAAGACCACTTACGAACAAAATATTTTTAACATTGGTATTAATTTTAATAAATTTGGATTTAACATGTACGAGTATATACATAGATTCATTACTTACATATATGTTACGTTCTCACAAGAGCTAGCGCCAACTCACAAACGTAGTATTTATTTACTCAGTCGTTGTCACTTTTCTGAACAGCCCATAATTTTTCCTTTGCCATATACAGTAATAAAAAAAAAGCAAGAATGTGGTGAGGTAACAATAAATTCTAATGATGGATAATGATATTGTATATGCAAATGTAAACACTTTATAACCAAAATCAAGCATTATGTGAGGTCAACATCTTCGTATTGTAATATCATGTTTATATACATATTTTAGCGAAATAATGTCTACCATAGAATAACCGATGGATTAGATAGATATAAGATAATGAAAATATATACCTACTTTAATTTTTGTTTTGCATATTAATGTCTGTGGTATAGAACAGATTTAAAATTTAACGTATTTTATAGGTATATTAAAATAATTTAGTTATATTGCTCTCTTTCTTAGATATCTTAGATTTTTTAAGGCATGATAAAGGAATGATGGACTTACCTGTGCTGCGGACAAGAGTGAAGGATGATAAAATGAGTTTGAGGTCTGGTCAGTGGCAAGTTCACTAGAAATTTAACACGATGGTTTCCAGAGGAAACCGCGTGGAGGATAACCTGATATTATCAATTGGGGTTATTAATCTACATTACTAGCGATCTTTTTTCCGCTGATACCTTAGATTTGTAATTGGAAATATCTAATTATGGACGGGAATAAGATTTTGAATTTTAAGACCTTCAGCATCCCTTGTCAATCAATATTACAATATGTCCCTCAAGTTCAAAGTGATTAATTGATAGCCTGCGAATAATATAATAATTAATAAAGATTTTCTGCGTATTTCAAATAAATTCTAATGATAATAACTAATATACTGACGCTACGATATAACAGACACCTGTAAGTGTTCGTCCTCTACAGCAATAATAGGTCAAAGTCACACAATAAGATAATATGTAAATTTTCATAAATAACTGTAAAGTAGAACAATGTTTAAGGCGGCAATTAACCGGTTCAATCCAGTTCGTGCCGGCGTTACGCAATAAATTGCACAGTTTTGGATAAGCACTGTCACTCTCATTTAACAGAATATGCATATAAATTATCATCACAAAAAAATCACATCAATTTTCTTCCCTCATACGTGGATGGAAGGAAAGGGCCCTAGATAAAGGTAACAGATTGAGCTGGTATAGGCATGTTATGCGGAGGAACGAGGATCATGTCTTATGGAAAGTGTGTAATATCAATGTGGATGGATGTAAAGGGCCCCTCCCTTTACATCCATCCACATTCATATACGCCCTAAGAAAAGATGGATGGATAGTGTGAAAAATGATATGAATAAAAGAAGAGTATGTTCAGATATGACGACCGATAGAGAGCAGTGGAAGAAAATGACATACCGCGCCGACCCCAAATAATGGAATAAAGGCAAGACAATGATGATTCGTCCATCTTCTTTTCAAAGATGAAACAGACGAAGATCGTAAACCCTAGTCTACTTTTAAATTAAGAACACATCAAGACAAAGAAAACCTTTTTGATTATTTTTTTAAAGCATAAATGTCACTTTGCTGGGCAAAGGCCTCTTCTTCACACATCCAGAGTTTTTGGTTATGATTTTCATTTAAATCATTTTAATGAATTTATAAGCTTGCTCGATACGTCAATTAATGTACAAGTAGTGAAAGATAGATTTTTGGTAGAATTGAAGTATTGCTGTATTGCAATATAACTCACTTACATTCTTCATTTGCCATTTTGTATTCTCCATATTGAATAGAAAATGGCAAGTGGAAGTCTTGAGGAAGAATTGAGAGCATCGTAAAGGGTAATTTAATTGGTAATCATTTTTGATACGTTCGTTTTAAAATTGCGTGGTTACAATTACCTAGTATGAAAAGTATAAAGTGTGTATTTTCAGATTTAAACTTTGTTTTCTGAAGAATTTGGTCCAGTATCCTGTGTATTATACTGTTTAATACTCCTGTACGCTCGAGTGGTATAGGTTTCAGAGCTCAGAACTTAAACATGTCAAAAAATCTGACAAACACGGAAACTTTCTCTAATACTCCAATGATGGAGACATTATAACAAACGAATTATTAATACGTCTCGAGTCTCTGCTGCCACATTATCTTCGAATATTGCAGCATAGTTCTTTTTATCGAGTATATCTGTTATGATTCTAACAACTATATAGTAAACCCAGTTTAGAAGGAATTCCAAACTCAGCGTATTGTAGGCAGGTCTAGTACTGCTTTCAATGTGACGTAGTCGAGAATATCTCTATCTACCGTCTCTAAGAATACAGTTGTGAATATATATTTTTTAATTAGTACATAATGTGAATTTAATAAATAACCTCGTGTGAATTCCGAGAATCATGGTTAGGTACTACGAGTAATAAATACAAACGGTTGTGACAATGAATAAAAATAATAATATAGAACATATACATTATGGTAATAAGCTGGGGACGACATTGTACGATATATTGTTAAATACAACACATGAGATTTGTTATGAGAATGTGTCTCAGGATTTATGTTTCCATTTTTCATATATTGAAAGGGGTCTGTTAAGCAGTTAAGTATTCCAACGCTAACACTCATGATTGTTGTTATTTGTTCACCTAGGCAGTTGTTATATTATTCTGGAATGACATAAGGTGGTAATATATAGGTAATAATAATAATCTTATTTATATAGACGGAGAAACAATAAATTAAAAAAATGAAAATAAAGTATATATAATTATACGTATGGTCTGTATCTCATATAGAGGATATCAAGTACTATTTTGGAACTTACAGATAGAAAAACAAACTTAAACTAGATATATAGTAAAAGGAATCTATTTTAAACCCAATACAAAGAAGTCCTTTCACTTCCCATAAAAGCTTTTATCACTAGTATAAATAAACATTGTTTACAATGCACCAATGCATAAAAACACACATTTTTCACCTTGACCGTAACACATACGTACCAACAAAACTTACCCTATTTCCCTATTGCCATTTAGAAAGCATCATTATGTTCACAATCGTTTATTGTCAAGATGCATCTTCAGACAAATCTCGTGACACAGATTATCGTGCACAACATGTGGCATTGTGTCGCCTCTGCCTCGGCGATTTAAAAAAAAATCCGTCCATCACTTAAAAACTTCATTCCGATTTTGGTGGTCGCGCCGCGTTGTCGTCGTATGGCATGATAAATTAAAAAACATAACACCATAGACACTACAATAAGTGTGAGTAAATAAAAAAAGAAAACATTATCCGTGATTTTTTTTAAAGTGCTAAGTGCCATGATGTACGGTTTTATTATTTGTTTATTAACAATCATGACAATAGTAAAAGGAAACGTATTCTTCAATCGTATCAATCACATGGAGTACTACAGGAACAGAACGAGGCCTTCCAAAGCCTTTCATAGTTTTTCAACGAACTATTTCAATCAGAACTTGGTGTCGAAGCCGGGGAAATCGGAGAGGGTGCAATGTGGTACTAGAACTGTTGATTTCAATCCGAGAAGAACAGGGAAGATTGTTGGCGGGACTGAAACGCCGTATGGAGCTTTTCCTTGGCAGGTAATTTTTAAATTAATTATTTAAAAAACAAACAAATGTTCACTATAATTTCACACGTATAAAACATAACACTTAAATCTTAATAGATTTAATCCAAAATAACTCACACAGCGGAAACCTAACAATCTTTTATTCTACATAGTTTTCAGGTTTGCCAAAAATACAATAAAATGAATATTAATAAAAAATAATTATTTATGTATTTGGTACTTTCTATTCAAATATTTTAACTGAAACATGTAAAGTTACAATAGTTATTGAAAAGAGCATCACCCAAGTTTCTTCCTCTTATCTTCTTGTAGGCAGGTTTCTGAATGAAAGGTAAATTAAAAAGTAAGTATTACTATTTAAAAGTGCCTAAATTTAAGTTTATTCGAATAAATAATTTTCTATTCTAACATAAATGTTTAGGTTTTAAGTACAGTGCAAATGTCGTTAAATATATCAACAACAATTATCGAAATCAGTTTCTAATTCTCAAAACTTATTAATTACATCAATTAAATATAAAATATTAGCGTTTAAAAAAATGATATTCTTCCCTAACTATTGTTTTATTTTTGGTGCAATTTACAAAGACGTTATAAAATTTACATAATCCGTTATTATTTTTAAAATTTATAATTTTCCAACAATCGATGTTGTTGTTCTTTCTTGGTAAAGAAAGTCATTACAATGTCTTTGTAACTTGCACCAAAAATATACAGCCATAATTAAAATATCCTTTTTTTTTAAATTAAAAAATATACAAACATTGAAATTATATCGAAGTTTTAGAATAACTAAAAATGCATGTATGTATATGTACTGTAATAATAGAGTAAGCCAAGTAGAGTGGGACGTAATTTTTTACGGCAATACTTCGATTAAAAGTATTGCTATCGATCTTCGGTGAGGGAAGACGCGAGGTCTGAAGAATATCTACGTCGTAATTTTATTGCACCGACTTAGATTCCGTAATTACCTAATAATGGAAAACTGCCACTTCGCTCTAGGTATAAAATATATACATATTAACCTTAAACAATCCATACAGCGTGATTCATCTAGTCCCAATTTAAGAGCTTGTGTTATGGGTACTAAACAACTGATACAAATACTTAGATTTTTTTGTAAACACTTATATAACATACATACATAGAATACACACAGACCGATACACACAATCATACTCATGAATACAAATGTTTGCGAAGAATCGAACCCGCGACAATGGGAAGTAAAGCGGTGTGCTAAACCGCTAGACCACCAAGGCCGTTTAAAATATATAGTATTTTTAAATATATACATTATCATTTTGTAATATGTTACTAAATAAGAATCAAATAAATTTATCTATATTTAAAAATAATAAATAGTAGGCACCTAGTATATGTAGTAGGTAAAGAACCCACACACAGACACACACACACACACACACACACACACACACACACACACACACACACATACATATATATATTTACTATACTTTCTTAAACTTATGTACAATCGCACAACCGAGGGATGAGTTCTGGTCTACTGAGATACAGTCTTCGTGCCTCGTTCCCAGGCTCATACAATCACAATTTGTTTATAAAAATGATTTAAGACCTGTATATGACTGTGGCTTAATAAATGTATTATTATTATTATTATTATGTTTCTTTTCTTTTCTCTTCTTTCATCTAGTTCAAAAGAAGGTGTATTACCTTCTTTTAACACAGATACCATACAGTGAGTATGTTATCACACGGGCCCTAGCCAAGTGTGGGAGAGGTCGCGCTATATGAAGAAGTTATTACTGAGGAAGTCAGAATTTATCTAATTTAGTATTATTATTATTTTTCTTTTGTTTTCTCTTCTTTTATCTAGTTTAAAAGAAGGTAATACTCACCCATACGGGCCCTTTATGTGAAGATGTTATTACTAGGAAGTCAGAATTTATCTAATTTAGTATTATTATTTTTTTCTTTTGTTTTTTTATCTAGTTTAAAAGAAGGTAATAGCCAAGTATGGGAGAGGTTGCACTATGTGAAGATGTTATTACTAAGGAAGTCAGAATTTATCTAATTTAGTATTATTATTATACTCACCCACACGGGCCCTAGCCAAGTGTGGGAGAGGTTGCGCTATGTGAAGATGTTATTACTAAGGAAGTCAGAATTTATCTAATTTAGTATTATTATTATTTTTCTTTTGTTTTCTCTTCTTTTATCTAGTTTAAAAGAAGGTAATACTCACCCACACGGGCCCTAGCCAAGTGTGGGAGAGGTTGCGCTATGTGAAGATGTTATTACTAAGGAAGTCAGAATTTATCGAATTTAGTATTATTATTATTATTTTTCTTTTGTTTTCTCTTTTTTCTATATGAAGATGTTGTTACTAAGGAAGTCAGAATTTATCTAATTTAGTATTATTATTATTTTTCTTTTGTTTTCTCTTCTTTTATCTAGTTTAAAAGAAGGTAAAACTCACCCACACGGGCCCTAGCCAAGTGTGGGAGAGGTTGCACTATGTGAAGATGTTATTACTAAGGAAGTCAGAATTTATCTAATTTAGTATTATTATTATTTTGTTTTCTTTTGTTTTCTCAAGTATTTTTTATCTAGTTTATCTAAAGTATTATTAATTTTTCTTTTGTTTTCTCTTTTATCTAGTTTAATACTCACCCACACGGGCCCTAGCCAAGTGTGGGAGAGGTTGCACTATGTGAAGATGTTATTACTAAGGAAGTCAGAATTTATCTAATTTAGTATTATTATTATTTTTCTTTTGTTTTCCCTTTTATCTAGTTTAAAAGAAGGTAAAACTTACCCACACGGGCCCTAGCCAAGTATGGGAGAGGTTGCACTATGTGAAGATGTTATTACTAAGGAAGTCAGAATTTATCTAATTTAGTATTATTATTATTTTTCTTTTGTTTTCTCTTTTATCTAGTTTAAAAGAAGGTAATACTCACCCACACGGGCCCTAGCCAAGTGTGGGAGAGGTTGCACTATGTGAAGATGTTATTACTAAGGAAGTCAGAATTTATCTAATTTAGTATTATTATTATTTTTCTTTTGTTTTCACTTTTATCTAGTTTAAAAGAAGGTAATACTCACCCACACGGGCCCTAGCCAAGTGGGTGCACTATGTGAAGATGAGAAGTCAGAATTTATCTAATTTAGTATTATTATTATTTTTCTTTTGTTTTCCCTTTTATATGAAGAAGTCATTACTGTGGGAGAGATTGCGCTATATGAAGAAGTTATTACTAAGGAAGTCAGAAATTTTCTAGTAATGTGACAGATATTCAGAATTGTGGCTTGTTTACTATTATTATATTTAAAATTATGTACATATATACCTAGCTAATGCAATTCAAACAATGTTATCTCTAAAAGGTCTCCACTGAATTAGAGAACGTAATGATTCATTAGTCACGACGACATATTGAATTCGATTGTAACCGATTCACGACACAATTAATCGATTAATCAATGGACGATGATTATATTTCGCACTAGCTGTTATCGCGACTTCTTCCACATGGAAAAAACATTATTTTTCATAAATTAAAGTAGTCTAAGTTACTCCTTATTACATCAGCTACCTGCCAAAAAAAGTCCCGTCAAAATCGGTCCAACCATTTCAGAGATTAGCCGGAACAAATATACAGACAGACAGACAGACAAAATTTGTAAAAAATGTTACTTCGGTGTATGTACCGTATTTATATTCATAAGCACATAGTAAAAAACGGTTATTTTAATATTACAAACAGACAATTCAACTCCAATTTTATTTATATGCATAGATTATAATCGATTTATTGTTATTATGTCAATAAATTTATAGTTTAGATAAATATTGGCATTCGCTTTCTTTGAGCAGTTCAATTATTTATAAAAGTAGCTTAAAGTTATTTATAATATGCCTCGGTGGTCTAGCGGTTTAGTACACCGCTTTACTTCCGATAGTTACAAGTTCGATTCCTCGCACGGTAAAAAAAATAGTTTGAATTCATGAGTACGATTGTTTGTATCGGTCTGGGTGTTTTCTATATATATATTATGTATGTATTTACAAAAAAAATATATAAGTATTTATATCAGTTGTCTAGTACACATAACACAAGCTCTGCTTACCATGGGACTAAATGACGCTGTGTTAATTTGTCTAGGTTATTTATTTATTTATATAGCGCTCTATATTTATTTAAGGAGCAAATATGTATATCTAACGAAAAGTGAACATGTCAACTGTTGCGTTTACCATGACATCCAGCCTCAGTGGTCTACCGGTATAGTTCACTACTTGCGTTGGTCGCGAGTTCATTTTCTCGCATTGTACAGACATTTGTATTGATAAATATGAGTGTTTGTGCCTGTACATATATTTTACAAGTGTATTATGTACGTAGTTACAGAAAAAATCTATCAATTGTATAATACCTACTCATATCACAAACTCTGCTTGCCTTGGGACAAAATAGCGCTGTGTGAATTATTGTGAGATATTATTATTATTAAGGATACAGGAAACTGATTGAAAAAATATTGATAATTAAAAATAAATTCCTTGAGTCATGTTCCTCATTCCTAAGGGTCGTGACAGCCCCACAGAATTAATTTATCTCTGTTTACACCCCTCCATCTGTGTCGGTCTTTTGCATAATGGAAGGCATCGAGGAACTTGGTGTCCAGAGATGAGCAATTTTGTTAAGGCTGTCTTGTGACGCCCTCTAGGACGTTTCCCATCCACCCTGCGAATCATCATTGACTGCTCCAGGTCTAAAACCTTCTTTTCGGGCGATGAATAGTAAAATAGATGAGTGAATTTAGTCAGATCATCTTGTGGGGCTACGTTCTGTCATCCGACGTTTCCCATCCACCCTGCGAATCTCCATTGACTGCTCCAAGTCAAAACCTTCGTTTCGGGCGACGAATAGTAAAATAGATGAGTGAATTTAGTCAGATCATCTTGTGGGGCTACGTTCTATCATCCGACGTTTCCCATCCACCCTGCGAATCTCCATTGACTGCTCCAGGTCAAAACCTTCGTTTCGGGCGACGAATAGTAAAATAGATGAGTGAATTTAGTCAGATCATCTTGTGGGGCTACGTTCTATCATCCGACGTTTCCCATCCACCCTGCGAATCTCCATTGACTGCTCCAGGTCAAAACCTTCGTTTCGGGCGACGAATAGTAAAATAGATGAGTGAATTTAGTCAGATCATCTTGTGGGGCTACGTTCTATCATCCGACGTTTCCCATCCACCCTGCGAATCACCATTGACTGCTCCAGGTCAAACCTTCTTTTCGGGCGATGAATAGTAAAATAGATGAGCGAATTTGGTCAGTTCATCTTTTGGGGCTAGGCCCTATAATCGGACTTTTCCTATCCACTCTACCAATCACCATTTGCGGCTACATCTTTTCGGGCGATGATTAGTAAAATTTAAAGTGTCTGTTTACGGCACTCTGTTCCTCAGTTCACATATTCTAACCTGGCAGCGGATTTTTATGGTTTTCAAGAATTTCCTTCGCAATGTTTATATGTCGTGTCGTGTCCTTGCTTTGCGTTGGATGGATGTAAAGGGAGGGAACGCCCTAAGAAAAGATGGATGGATTGTGTGTAAGATGATATGAATAAAAGAAGAGTATGTTCAGATATGACGACCGATAGAGAGCAGTGGAAGAGAATGACATACTGCGCCGACCCCAAATAATGGGATAAAGGCAAGGCAATGTCGTGTCATTGCTTATCAAGAATCATAAGCAATGTCACAAACATTCTTTCTTCATATTATTAAAATTCTTCTCATGTTTCATTTTTAGTCATTTTAATTTTCCTTACAGATGTAATGGCATTTGTAATATACTGGAAACATGAGTACTGTAACACGGTACGAAGTTTACGTTTCTTAAACTATCTTAACTAAACCATAGTTTAGATAGTTTAAAAAACGTAAAATATCCATAAATTAATCACATGGAGTAGTATAACATTATTGAAAATGAAAGCACTTTTGCAATTCAGTGTAATTAGGTATTCTATGTAGTGAAGTCGGTTCAATTCCGTGGGAATTCACACAACAGCTTAGGTAATAGGTATTTATTAGATTATTTAAAAATAACAACGGAAGTGTGATACAAAAGCGTAAGTGTTTATAAATTCCAGTTTTAATTTTTACACGTCGTAAGAAAAAAGTAATTTTATTCATTTTTACTGCTTCTGATTAAACCAATTATTATTAAATCTATACACATAGGTAACGCGGATGAATTCGCGCTAAAAACTACTGTCTCAAAATAGTTCAAGTCTTCTAAGCATTTTAAATTAGTTGCCTACAATCATGGAGTTGATCTATAAAGCCGTGATTAAAATTGACCAATTTCATTGGTAATCGTAATTTTCTACCATATCCGATCAAACGAAGTTCGTAAATTACATTATTACTGTCTTTAATGCGCAAGATTTCGTATTAATGTGCGTTTAATACGTAGGCGAAATGTATTTGGTTTTTAAACAACTATTTTTATGGTAATGGATGAAAACGACAATGAATAAAATTAGACACGCTTTTAGGAATTAAAATAGATTGTATTAATATAATTATGTAGTACTTATTGGTACCTATGATATATCGGTGGTATAGCAGTTTTGCATGCGGCTTTTGTAAATTTTGATGGATTTAATAATAATTATTTGTACAATGAACTTACATACATTAAAACGTCACTCAATAACTTCCGAATAGCGAACCTAACCTAACAAATACATTTTATTTTTAATATTCTTAGGTTATTTACATAGTAAAATATAGTAAAATTAATTATCATAAACCACTATTTTAAAATTTATCGATGTCATAATAAAATAAATATAGATTTAAAAAAAAACAAAATTAATAATTATTTATTACTCTTATTGATCGTATGCCGATCCCCAGAAGTAGGCTTATTACATCGAGGTTACATTGCATAAAAAATAGAAACAAAAGAAAATTGATTTCGCAGGAGTCCAAGTGAAAGTGTACTTACAATGAGCTTTAATTTCCGAACGTTGAACATGGCCAGCTGTCAAGTTGACAGCCGCTGTTGGCGGGCTTTTGTGTTTTGGCGCGCACTTTTTGTTTTCAAAATGGCGTATTATTAGGTAACTTGAAATGAATAATGGAGTTTTGAGTGCACTGACACCGTTTTGAGTACTACATTGTACCAATTGTACGTTGTAGAGTTATTTGTTTCGACTGACATAATCCTGTTACCAATTAGTTTGTCTCTTTGTAAGTCACTAGTTCGATTACTGATTTTTTTTTTATTTAATTATGGTTACGCAGTTATAATGCAGTTTGATGGTCAGTGCTCAGTGGTCTAGTGGTTTTGCACACCGTTTTACTTCCGATGATCGCGAGTTTTATTCCTCGCGCGGTGCATACATTTGTATTCATGAGTATGATTGTTGGTATCGGTGTGAGTGTTTTCTATATGTATTATGAATGTATATACAATAAAAAAAATCTAAGTATTTATATCAATTGTCTAGTACCCATAACACAAGCTCTACTTACCGTAGAGCCATCTGTGCTGTGTTAATAGTCTAGGGTTATTTGGTTAGTTGGAAATACTTATTAATGTGGAATTATTAGTGATCATCATGTTTGGTTAGATGAAGTGAAAGAGTTTTTTTTAAACTTATTCTTAGGTGTTTTCGCAAGATTTCTTTGCATGATTTTTCTGTAACCAATTAAGTAACCAATTTATAATAATATCTAGGCTACAGATAATAATTCTAAGTATCTTCCGCTTACAACTTTATATAGGTCATATTAGTGACTGAGTGAACTTATATAACATATAGGCATTTCTAGGAAAAAATATAAAGAAAAAAGAAAATTGATTTCTATGTTCACAGTAAAGACTCTTGAATAAATAAATATTTTTTTCTAAAAATCAACATTAAAGAGTTTTTTAATACTAGTTATTTCGTAAACGTAGTGTAAGACGCCCCTCAGCTAGGTGGAGCAACGACATACGTAGGGTTGCGGGTAGTAACTGGAAGAGAAGTGCTGAAGATAATGTCCAGTGGCGTGCCTTGGGAGAGGCTTATGTCCAGCGCAGGATTGCATAGGGCTGACATGATTACTTATTTTGATAATTTGAAATAATGTTTCTATAGTATTAATTTTCATTTATCTTTATTTTAATTGTATACTCTGGAGATGGACGCAAATAGCTGCAACACAGTTTTTATAAACTAATGTCAACTACATCTTTGTTTAACATGTAATAACGTATAAAAAAGTATCATTACATTGTATAAAACAAAGTCGCTGTCGCTGTCTGTCCGTCCGTATGTATGCTTAAATCTTTAAAACTACACAATGGATGAGTGATTCCAGAGGAAGGTTTATATATATAATACATGTACACCCGTGCGAAGCCGGGTAGCTAGTAATATATAATTTTATTTATGATTTGAATAAATTATTTAATTCTTTCTTTAATCCAATTTTTCTTAGTTTATTAAACATAACAGAAAATGTTTTTATATTTCCAGGTCGAGATTCAAATGTTGGACCACGATAAGTTGGAGTTCGAGCACCACTGCGGGGGCGCTGTCATCGGGGAGCGTCTAGTGCTATCAGCTGCACATTGTTTTGATAAAGTTGGTATTTAGTTCTTTAAACACCAATCATCAGTAATGGATTACTCTAGTATAAAGAGTAACAAATGCTCAGAGCCTTGCGCTTTAAGGAGCCCCGTACAATCGCATTCACTATATTAAAACAAAAACAAAATTTTTGTTTTGTATATGTATACATACTGCTAAATTAATTTAAACTTTAGCTACTTACAATACATGTTAATTTTACAAATATTTTTTAAATACATGTATATTATTTTTATGAATTAAACGCATGCAAAATATTTTTTAATTAGATATGTGATTGATAAAGTCAAAATGAACAGACTCAGAAAATACTTTACTCGTATTATAAATTATTTCTATTCCTCGCACCGTTCAAACATTGCTATTAATAAGTATGATGGTTTTTATCGGAATCGGGGGTTTCTATATATTTACGTATATATTTAAATATATCTTACAGTTGTCTAGTACTCATAACATAAACTATTCTTAGGTTTGACTATTAATATACATGTTATGACAGAAATTGTTAAACACATTTGTTTTACTTTTTATTATTCACTTTTTATCTATTTATTTTTATTTATATAACTTTAATGCACTCTGTACAAAATGAAATCATACATTTGGCAGACTTAAGATCATGCAATGTTTTCTACGAGTCAACAATCAGTAGTTTTCTACTTTATGCTGTATTAGTTGCCCAAGGTTTTTATGGATGATAATGATTTAGTGCACCCGCCTGCGCTGGCGGGGCACCAGTGAAGCATGATAAGATGAGCATGAGGTCAGGTCAGTTAACCCATCATGACAAATTCACTAGGTATTTATCACGATGGTTTCCAGAGAGAATCGCGTGAAGATTAACCTGACATGGTACCTTGCTACAATGGGGTCAAAAGTTCAGTTGACTACAAACCCCATACCCTCAGGGTTTTTCTTATTTCTATTATCAATTACAGCAGCCCCTACAACTGGATCACATCAGGCTGGTGGTGGGAGAACACAGGCTGAAGTTCCAGGACAAACACGAGAACAGGTTCCTGGCTGAGAAGGTGGTGCTACATCCGGAATTCCGGAAAGGTAAGTATATATACGTGTGACTGGAGCGGGAACACACGACTATTAATGAAAACCTTTAATAATTGTAATAAATGGGTATATTTCCCAAAAGAGCTGTGAGCTTTAGACTGTTGTTACTCTTAGCTGTGACTAAGAGTAACAACAGTCTAAAGTGACATATAAAAAAACAGATATCAAAAATATAAATTTATAAAAAGAATGGTAGACAAGCTGCCAGCAACAATGCGTGTCAATCCTGGTACTATGTGTAATGTTTTTTTTTATTGATTTCATTTTTTTTATAATTATGCATAATAGACGGGGAGAAATGTTGGGGCACTTGATACGACACGACGAACTAATTAACAACATTATAGAAGGAAAAATAGATGGAAAGAGAGGAAGGGGAAGACCAAGACACAGCTATATCAAGCAAGTTAAAAGAAAAAGTTGGAGTCGTGTCGTAGCAACAGCTAAAGGGACTGATAGAAGATCGTGAAAGGTGGCGGGAGCTCCACCGACAAGAGCACAGCTCTTAAATTATGAATGAATGAATGCATAATTATAAAAAAAAACATACAGTCTTTACTAGCACGAGAAGTAGTTTTATTTTTTTTGTATAATTATGCATAATAAATGTATTAAATCAAAAACTGTGTTTTTTTATAATTTAATTATGCATAATAAAATACATTTATTATGCATAATTATAAAAAAACATACAGTTTTTACTAGCACGAGAAATAGTTTTATTTTTTTGGTACTGTTTAAAAATTATGCGTACCTTCAGTATTATGTTTGTATAAGAAGAGCCATTTTTACGTGTAACATTTTTTAAATAAATAAATTTATGTATAACATACTAGCTTTTTGACTTATCTATGTAAACTACTAGCTGCAACTTTCTCTGCATCACACTTACTGACATTTATTGTTATATTTCGCCCAATTTACATAATATCTTTCTAAAATATAGCCTATAATTTATTCTGATATATAAGCTATATTACTGTGACGTTTTATCAAAATCCGTTCAGTAGTTTTTGCATGCAAGATTAACAAATATACATCCATACTCAAACTATCGCGTTTATAATATTAGTAAGATAAGTGTCCGAAATTTTATGCTCCTTTGTGCGACTAATTTTCATAAAAAGGGGTACAAAGTTTTTACTTACCATATTAACACATTATGAGCGGCTAGCTCAGGATAATTTTTTCTATCTCACTTTACGTTCTTTTACAAGTAGTCCTATATATCAAATATATCAAAACATTATTTTTTCCTTGTGTCACTTAAAATTATTTTATTATAAAATACCTTCCCAGCTTCTAAACGGCAATGCGCGGAAAGAGTTCTAGTACCTGCCCCGCTCACAATATGTTAATATATAGTTTTTTATTGATCACAGATGGTCCCCATAGCAACGATATAGCGGTGGTACTAGTCTCGCGGTCCGGATCAGGGATGCAGTTCAATAGCCACGTCCGGCCGATATGTCTGCCGGACAGCGGGGACGAGACCACCGGACAATGGTGTGCTGTCAGCGGCTGGGGATACCAGACAGGTAAGGTGCAAAGATGGTAAAGAAGTGTACAAAGTCTCCCTCTGAAGAATACTCTTTACTTCATTCTTCATTTCATTCTTCTTGTAATGAATCTGCCTTACGAATGAGTGGTAAAATCAAAATATGACTATTCAAAAGTGCTTGTAATGTCTATTAGAATAAAGATTATTTCTATTTCTATTTCTTCTTATTTTCTTAAGAAGAAGATTTTATATAAAGTCATCTTTACGGGGATTTACACCGTAATACTACGGTGTTACGGTGGAAATTCTCGCATCATTCTATCATGTTAAATGACAAGGTGAGAATAACTGGATAATTCACACAGAGTTATTTAGTCCTAAACTAAGCAGAGAATTTGTTATGCTACATGGGGGTACTAAACACTGAGAGAAATGCTTAAATACATTTTTTATAAATAGAAAATATTGTTTTCTTTTTTGTAAATATATATATATCTACTCATCAATAGAAATAATGGGATCGTGCGTAGAATCTAATCCGTGGTCATCACAAGTAAAGCGGTGCGCTAAACTGATAGACCATTGATCCCTTAACGCCTTTAAAAGTAATGTAGCAATATTGTACCGTTAAACGCCTTTCAAATTAACATAGCAATATATAACATTGCAATATTGCTAGCAAGTGAATTATTGTTTAATTTCTAGAGAATATGATAATACTTAACCCTTTGTAGGTACCAAAGTGAGTACTTTTTATATAAATAGACCATGCGTCCCGCCTGATGGCAAACAATCGTCCTACATAACAATTAACTATTTCTTCCAGAAAGTACAGAGAGCTTCGCTCCTGTCCTCAGAGCGGCCTCCGTGCCAGTATTAGATCTGGCAACTTGCAGGGCCAACCAGGTACTAGGTGGCCGACAACAAGCAATATTAGACTCAATGTTATGTGCCGGTGAGTACAGAATTGTCTGGAGCAGATACTTGTACAATTATTTTGTATAAATTATGATAGAATGGTGCACCCGCCTGTGTGCCGGTATACGCTGGTGAACCATCAGTGGTGATAAGATGAGACCATGCTCGGTCGAGTCGAGTCAGTTGGCGCATTGTGGCAATTCATCAGGAATTAGACACGATGGTTTCCAGGGGCATTATAATAGCTACTGGAAGCGTTACGATTTGTTTACTTTTCTATTGGTGACAAATTCCGACCATTGTTGAGTCTACACCCATATAGCGACACATGTGTCGCCTCTGAACGAAGCGTCATCTCAGGCATTGAAGAGATTTCTGATATAGCCTGGAAGCCTAGTGTTGAATGTTCAGAGACTAAACTGCGACAGCTTATGGTAGCGAATTTAGAGAAAATAATATAAATCTATTAAGTAATAAAATGGACTTATACATTATTTCTATCGAGACTGGGGATGATAATACGACATTCGGATACGGATAGGTTTCGGATATAGAAATGATTATTATACCGGATACGGATGCGGATATGAAATTATTTCGGATTATCCGTTACTTTCTGTTACGGATATTAATTTTTTAAAGAATTTCAAAAGTAAAATACAAATAGCTAATAAAATAGTTACATAACATATCTCAATTAGGCTATCCGATATTATCTTGTAAACTTTTATTTTGTATTCGGTTACGATTACGAATACTTTTTATATCGGATATCCGTTTCGGATACGGTTACGGAGCTCCCTGACATCCCTGTTCGAGACCGCGACTAGTGCAACCTTCGTAACGTCAAGAGAGATAAATATCTTTATTTACCATAAAAATATTCATAACAACATAAATCTTAATAAAATTGTAGAAACAAAAGTTATAAACGCAAAAAAAGGAAGAATGGATCTGAAAGAGTAACAACTCTTTCAAGCAAAAACTACTGACCGCATTTTGATTAAAAGTTTACAACGATGAAGCTTATATATCACAATAATACATTGTCTATAATTTAAAATATTATGTAAATTGGGCGAAATATAATGATAAAACCGCTACGAATAAAATTTCTTTTAAATGTAAACTACGGGAACTTTATCTCAATTTGTAACTTGTTACTGCTCTCTTCCATTTCTCTTTCTTTCATTTTTTTTATTCTACTCTCTTTAGTTCTGTGACTGTCAGACTATTGAGTATCTAGTATATATTTATTTTATATATCTATCATAAGACCTGTCATTTTATATGGATCTGAATGTTGGGCCGTAAAGGGGATGGACGAAAAGCGTGTGCATGTGGCGGAAATGCGAATGTTAAGATGGATGTGTGGGGTTACCAGGAATGATATAATAAGGAATGTGTATATACGAGGAAGTTTGAAAGTTGCGCCGGTTATAGAAAAGTTGCGAGGTAACAGATTGAGCTGGTATGGGCATGTTATGCGGGGGAATGAGGACCATGTCTTATGGAAAGTGTATAATATGAATGTGGATGGATGTAAAGGGAGGGGACGTCCTAAGAAAAGATGGATGGATTGTGTGAAAGATGATATGAATAAAAGAAGAGTATGTTTAGATATGACGACCGATAGAGAGCAGTGGAAGAGAATGACATACTGCGCCGACCCCAAATAATGGGATAAAGGCAAGGCAATGATGATGCGTGTGTATATATTTATTGGTATATATGTATAATATAATATTTGTATATATTTATGTAATTTATGATTGTATTCCTTAGATATATATTATTCCTTATATTGTATTTATCGTTCTGTTTATATTTTGTTGCATTTTATTTATCATTTATTGTATTTGCACCGCCAACATTTATTCTCTGCATCACCTATTTATTTTATTTTTATTTATTTATTTAATTCAGGCTACATGGCCCATATTATAAATACCTTATAGACTAACATACATAAGAAATAATAATAAAATATGTAAATAAAATTGTCTCTATGGTCACGGCACTGACGACGGTAATCTGCCACGGTAGACCACCCCCTTCGGCCAGTAGTCCTCCTTCATGAAGGTGGGCAGCATGTTGGTGGGGACCAGGGCCACGAACGCTTTGAAGCTCGCGTTGTGGCTCGATTCCAACTGCGTCACCCTCAATGTCAGGTTGCTTTTAGTCCGGATGTAGTCAACAATCCTGTTCCTTGGTAGCGTAGTGTAGGCGGGATAGGTAACATTGCCGTGGTCGGTGTTGCGGCACGTAACCTATGGTTGTCTGATGGAAAATGCCGCATGGTGTTAAGTCCGCCAAATGTACTGTACTATATTTTGTATATTATGTGCATTGAAGTTAAATAAATAAAATAAATGTCAAATAATTATGATGCATACGAAGTTGCGCGGTACGTTAGTTATGTATATTAGATATATAAGTTTAAAAATAACATCTAATACCTGAAGTAATTACCACAATGTTCATCCAGGGATCCTGGCGGGGGGCGTTGACGCATGCCGCGGTGACTCTGGAGGTCCTCTAGCGTGTATGTCTTCGAACAAATGGCAGCTCCACGGGGTCGTATCCTGGGGCTCTGGTTGCGCCAGGAGGTCACGACCTGGAGTCTACACCAGGGTCGCATCTTACGTCGACTGGATCAGATACACTGCAGCATCCCTGGGACATAAGATCGCTTAAATATTGGACAGTTTTAATGGATGATAATGGAATAGTGCACCCGTGTGCTGACGGTATGGCGGAGCAACAGTGAAGCATGAGGTCAGGTCAGTTAGCACATAGTGGTGAAGTCACCAGGAATTACAGGTTTCTGGGGAGAACCGTGTGATCGACCAAACATGGTATATTGTTGACCATAACGCAGTAACCTCCGTAACTAATAATCTCTTACCTCTATTATATATATAAATATATATACATGGTAGAGGATATAAGATATATTTTATAGAGCCATCAAGCTTCGTTAGTAACAAGCAAGATACCTTTTATGTTAAAATTTATCTTTCTTTTCTAAATAATATTTTTGTATTGTGAAGGCCTGTCCGTGTCTTATAAAGTTTGTTTCAACATATATATAGAATAGCGCTGGTTGTCCCATAAAAAATAAAGTAACGAGTAACATTTTTAAAATTTTTATATTTCACGTATCTCGACAAATATGTATTCTCTACATAGTATTAAAAAAGTCCCGGCCGTTGTCTGTTCACTTATATCTTTTAAATTATGCAACATATATTAATGCGGTTTTCAGCAATAGATAGGATGATTCAGGAAGGTTTATATGTATAATATACGCATGTTATAACATAGTACGGGCTGAGAAATTCAAAGAATTGTAATTGATGATAAATCAAACAAAAAGAAATTATACGTAGAGTATTGAAAATAATTACTGAGTTAATTAATCTCCTTTGGTGGGTATTTTACACAGCTCTCTTTTGCCTGCAATAGTATATACTGTATTAAAATATAATAATAATTATAGCCCTTGACAATTTACACAACGCCATCTAGTTCCATGCAGGACAGAATATAAAATCATTTATTCAAAAAACCTTTCATTAAAGCACTTTTGAATAGTCATCACTTATTTTTTTAAACTACCACTTACATATTTGAAAAACTGTCTCATCAAAAGAAGAACGATTAAGGAACTTGCCTGTTGTTATTGTGTTATGGGTACTAGACGACTGATAAATATACTTGAATACTTTTCGTAATAATATTATACTAATATTTTCGTAAATAAATAAATAAAATATATAGAAAATACCCAGACCAAAACACATAATCAAATAATACAAATATTTGTATCCTGCGAAGAATGGTATACTAAACCAAAAACTAATGGTACGGGGAAGATATATTGGGAAGAATTTCCTCCGTGGTCATCGGAAGTAAGGCTATATGCGTCTAAGTAAGGCTTTAGCCTCTAGACTACGGAAACCGTAAACATTTAATATGTAATTATTTTTTTGTTATAGTTTCCTCAACTTTTTTGTCCATTTAATAATAAAATCGTTAGTTCGCAATTAATTAGGTACAATAGCACTAACTCGTTGATACGTGATGTACATAATATTTATAATGTTTTTATCTTAGTTCAGGGGGCAACTAAAACTATCGCTCGATAACACACATGACCAGTGTGTTCTCTGCGACACCTATAGACAGGTAGGCACTATTGCAGGCGATAATTATACTAATTAGTAATTACTGACTACGAGAATAGATAGCTATATTGTTACTAACTACGAGCATATTTTACTATACTAGCATAGATTACTATACTCTCACTAATTACGAGCATAGATGACTATATTGTTACTAACTACGAGCATAGATGACTATACTCTCACTAATTACGAGCATAGATGACTATACTGTTACTAACTACGAGCATAGATGACAATACAATTCCTAACATATTATACGAATTCTTGATGCAGCTTTAATTATTTAAAACAAACAGATAAAAATTATATCATTGATTGTTTTGGATTCTATTACGTCGACAAAGTCCTCTAATAATATTTTTTTTATATATCTCCCATAGACCGATTACATTTTTATAATATATGTATATAAATGAACATTTAATTATAATTAATTATTAATAATTAGTTAATTATTACGTAATAAATAGGTAGAATAAATAATAAAATACTGTAATTATTATACTGTTCACCCGAACGATTTCGGGAGAGACCGCTAGTAAATAGATTATATTAAGTTTTAATGCCAAAGATTAATTATATATACTATACTTAGATAATATATAAATATAGCTTAACTTTATGGTACTAACGTATTTACTGAAAATATAAATTGATATTACAACCAGATGATATATATCCAAGTAAACATAAGTAGACTTTTTGTAAAAGTCGTCTGCGACTGATCACATCAGTCTCACAGGCAGGCAGCTTGCTTTATAAGATGTGTTTCAGAGCTTACAGTGAAATTACAGACTACTGAAGCATGAAATATATTGGTTTTAAGGGACGGACAATAAGCATGTGACACCTGATGTTTCAGGCGTCCATAGGCTACGGTAACCGTTCACCATCAAATGAGAAATATGCTTGCCACCATCGTAGTATAAAAAAACATATATTTCTGATGACGTGAAGTCTGCACCACTTACATATATATAGTATTAGGTGGATCGTCGGTTATTTTGATATAGACTGCCGTAAAACAAACTACATACATTATATCATATATATGATATAAACTTATATATTTGAGATTGTATTTGGATAAATCGCTAAATTGTTGATAAGATTGTAAATTTTTAAGTTAATTTTAATGTACATTAATTTTGTAAAAAGTCGTTTGCGTTCGTACCTCAATATCATCTAATACAACCGCCAAACAGCTTGTTTTGTAAATTATTTCGGTTGTAGGATGCATATAAGTTAGTGAAATTACAGGATAAGAGGCATGACATCTTAATCTTTCAGAATGGCAACACATGTATACCTCAGGCGACATATGACATGATCTTTATAGTGCTATTCCACAACCCATCATCCTTGCATATGTGATGGATGCAGTTTACCATTGAATGGAGCGTTCTTACGTTTGCCATTTTAATTACAAAAAAAATTGATTTAGTAATATTCGACATACTATTTCATTGTTTAAAATACGAAGTTAGTTTATATCTGCCATATTTTATACATGTTTATATTTCACCGTTAACATTTCTATAAAATTATTGTAATTTATTTTAAAATTATTATATATTATTTTAATTATAATTTGTTGTCAAATAATAGTTTATGTCAGATTGAAACAAATAAATTATATTGTAATATTTTAATTATAATTTTGGTACAAAGATTAGGCGCAAAGGTTATAGAAAAGTCAGGTATTATACATGAAACCAACACCACTTGAACTACTTAACAAAAGTAGTATCTGAAAATAAATTCTGAACTTTTCACAAATAATTTAAAAGTTCTTATGAAACCACGGAGTTTTCGTTTCACACAAACTTTTAAAAATTATTTTCACTTTTCCACATTTGTAATACAAAATATATCTAAGATATTTTAATTGTGTCAAAATAAATTATATTATATTATGTTAAGTATTATTTGTGTGCCAATTATTTTAATTTTCTTATACATATTTGAAGTATGGTCTCAGTTTATATGAATAAAGATTCTGCCTATCTATCTATAAAAATTCTTACATACAGTTCAATGAAAACTATCACTGACTTGTAGTATATATTTTATGACTAATCTAGTAGATTTTAATCAACATCAAATGAGAATACTTAGCAATTATGTTACGTAATATAGTAGTATATTGTTAGTATATTTAAATGTACCTAATTAAAATAACTTTCCTTCGACACTGTACATCAGAAATGAGCATGTTTGTATCATATTGTTTTTTATTTATATAATCATACACTTTTGTACCCCGAGATTGTGAGTGGCCGTACAGTGTTTGGACTCTGCACGGCATGTTTAATTATAGTTTCTATAAGAGATTGCATATAACACCGCCTTTTGTATTTCTATTATTGTTGTATTATTATACTTAATCAGTTTTGTATATTGGTGCAATAAAGTGTTTGTAATATGTTGTGTTTATGTTAATTCTATTTATTACATCCATTTATGTTTATTATCTAGTTCCAGTTATGAGTAATGTATATTCGTATAAAATTACAACAGATTATCATAACTTCAATCTTATAAACTGGATTAAGTAATATATGTATGATATCTTTTCTACCTCAGTTTGTTATTTATAAATAGCATACTTTTGCTTATAAATTCTTTGAGTATTAATAATATCTCACGACAACTCGCACAGCGCCATCTGCTCCCAAGCTGTGTGTTATGTTACGACACAATTAGTTGATTAGTCTTAAGTAATGTTTAATGTTATAAAACATCATTAGTTAATAAGTCTTTTAGTTTATAATGTTATCTATTTTGTTGTTTGTTTGTAAACCTAATGTTGTGAGAATAGCAAATAACAACCCCTGGTTATTTAAAGGCATCCTCCCTTCCTCCGGCGCAGTCATAATTCCGAATTCATCGTAATCACATACTTGTACCGTTGCTGTGTAGATAATATAAAAATTAGTTTTTAAAAAGCAAGTTTATTCATTCGCAACGTAACAATTTGGCGCAGTTGGTAGGATACTGTGTAAGACGAAATATAACCTGCAGTTGATCATCGGGAGAGCATCGCCCAGCAATACAACGCGCGGTAGCCACAGGCTTTTAACATGCTTCGCCGAACATGCAAGTCTTATTATCATATTGTTATGGTGAGTGGTTTGAACTTGTTTGCTCTATAAATCCTCTAAAACCAAATCTGCCTTAATATTTTCATATATATATATATATTTTACCCCTCTCTAAATTCCTTCTAATGTCACTAGAAATCAAAATCGAAAAGAAGGCTGATGGCTCATTCGACACCAGAGAAAATAATCAGTAATATAGATTTGTTCGATCTTGCAATTATGCATTTTAATTTGCTACTTCAGATCAGGACACGATCCTTCTAATGTATACCCTAAATAATATCTCTGACATCAGGTGTACCGATAAGATATTTTAATAATGAGCTGAACCCGTCCAGTAGTTCTCTGAGTTCTTACCTAGATATGTATTTAATTAAGAAAGTTTATCATCAATTTTATC